TCGGCAGATAAGAGTGGCTCTGGCATACCAGAATGAGATGGCCTGTCTTTACCGTAATCAAGATATGGTACCTAACCGCAGTTATTTTGGTTTTATAACGGGGATATTGCTCGAACTTGAATAACAAATAAAAGGCATGTTCTTATTTCTGTATTCTGACCTTTGATTGTGTATTAAGTTGAGCTGCACGCCAAACGTTAAAATTGTTAAAACGCTGAAAATAAAACTTTATTCCTCTCAATTTACATAAAAATGAAACAGATTAGATTCGAATCTCAGTCACACCAGCACCACTGGTCAAAGGAAGTACAAATATCTATATTAATCTAATGTCTGAGAATTTGATAACTGTCTGGGATCCAATGTTAATTTTATTGAAGCAAACTAAGAAAAGATGAATTTTAAACGTTTAGAGGGAAAAGTCAAATATGCATTGTAACCCTAAAAATAATTCATTAAAGTGTCGTACACATTTTATAACATTTATATAAATAAAACAAATAAAGCACAACCCTAATGCCCTATAATGAATTCATATCGGCGCTAAACGGCCCTTGCAATAAAAACGCATCGAAGCAGGGAATGCTTGGAAAATTCTTCCGAGACTGACTTCTGTTATTTCAAAATTGAAATATGCCTAATTCCTATGAACACGCGATCTTTTTCCCTGGGTTTTACTCTATTTTAGATTTACTAGAAAAATGTTTATATGATGATTGCGTTTGCTTCTCACGAGTTCATTGAAACGTTCAGTCGTAAAACTTTAGAGATCAAAAGACTAATTAGGCACCTGATTGCGAAAGTTTGATTGCATTTCGATCGCCGGGATTTTACAAACGTATTGTTTAAGTAGCGGTTCTTGGGATCTTGATAACTTCCTATTTTAAGTTTTGGGTTGAAAGCAATGAGTATGTCGGACTTTCTCAAGTCCACATAATGAAACAATATCCCTTTATATTAGTCCAATCGGAAGTTGCATAAACATACCAGTTTTATATTGCAAAAATAACTGTAATTTATAGCCTACATAAAATCATCATGATAAATAAAACATTAAAGCATATATAAAGCCTATTGTTATCGCACCCATCGCCCCCCCCCCCCCCCTCCTGGCTACGCCTATGGATATTTTGGCAACTTTCACGTTTACCCCGCCCCCTAATAATTCTTGCACCCCCTCTAAATATCAGACCCGTCAGGCGTTGAGGCATGGATCAGGATACCCTGACTCCCAAGCTGTGCGACTTCTGGCAACCGCTACACCTATATTCCCGGGGAAAACGCTTTTAGAAAAATTGTCAAATATGGTCGTGTGTGGGCAAACACGGAGGAGGAGGAGAGGGGTGCGTGCATTGTGTGCGACCCTTCATCAGTTGTGTACCTTATTTTTTGTATGAATTTCTTCCGAATAGTTATGCTAGAGGGGTTCTGATATTTATTTCTGTTTTCAAATGAAATAATTTCACCCTTGCCCGACTGACTTGTAGATAATGCACGAATCAAATAGCATGGAGATCAGATAATCAGATTGATTCGTATTTTCGCAATCAGATGAATTAACTTATTGTTTTCTCTGATTAAAAGGCGGTTTGAAGCTACTTTTACAGGATTTGTAAATTCGCAATCAGACTGGCTTATTTTAATATTCAGTCAGCGCAAGAGGAGGGGACTATAATGTAGAAAATTGTTTTGGTTTCGACACTAACTGAATAATTTATCACAATTGTTAAATAAGCAAACAGAAACAGGTTTAAAATGAGAATAGAGGCAAAAAAGTCTATACATAAAATGTAATTAAAACCCGGGAATTAAAAGCAATTTTAGACTGTTAGATGATCTCTTCTGTAATCAAGGTGATGTTGGTACACTTCCGCCGTTAGAAAAACAAAGACTAAGACAAAGACTATATAGCAATTAATCCTTTTGTAATCATTAAATGTTAGATTCTTATTATTTTGTTGGACAATGTTCAGACTTCTGACCAAGATTAAATCATTTATGTTTGTATTTAAAAATAGTATTTCAATCAGACAGACGTTCTAATGAGTTAGAAAAATACATTTGTCCATTTCCTCTCAAGAAGTTTTCAAAGGTAATCAAGTCGATTTGTTTGAGTGTTTAGCATTGTTTTTCATAACTTGACGCTTCCATGAACATAATGACTTTGAAATGAGTTTTTATAATTTTAGCTTTTATACGGACATGCTTATTGTATATTTCTATATGAACGTTGTAGTTATGTGATGTAGCATCGCCCCCCCCCCCAATTACAGGTATACACATTTTGGTCGGAATGCATTAACTTGCAATTAAAAGCAATTTTGGACTGTTAAATGATCTCTTATGTAATCTAGGTGATGTTGGTACACTTCCGCATTTAAGAAAACAAAGAGAACTAAGCAATTAATCCTTTTGTTATCATTAAATGTTAGATTCTCATTTTTTATTGGACAATATTAAGACTTCTGTCTCCGATTGTTATGCAGGTATGTGTATAAAATCATGTGAACAACATTATCGTGGAAACTCCCATATTCATTCTCATAATGTCTTACAGCTATTTCGCAAATGACATAATCCTAAATAACATATGGAAATAATAGTGCAGAACTGAGCGAAAAGAAAGGTGGAACAAATCAGATTAAGATATTTTGTTTTTGAAATGCACAAAGGGCAACAGTTGAAGAACAAAAGTTAAAGGCGTTGTGAAATAGATCGTGCCTTTATATGATCCCCTTCTATAGTACCCTACCCTTTGCATTCGTTCGACTTCACTTCTCTAATGAGAGTTTCGTCTTCTTGTAGTTTATAATTAGACTCTGCACGCAGCGTAATAGTTCCCCTATTATCCATGTTCATGTTCTCATTTGATTTTCATCAGTTATGACTTGGTAACATTTGTTCCGATTTTCATTAAGGCGCCCGGCCGATTGAGTATTTTGTTCAGAATTGAATACAATTTTGAACAAAATACTCATCGGCCGGGCGCCGGTGCTGAAAATCTGAGCAAATGTGACCACGTCATTATAAAAGCATACTCTTTAATACACGAACAGATTCAAAATGAGACTTTATCTATCAGAGAAATAAAAATGGAAAATTTGTATTCTGAAAATATTAACTGATGCATTGGTTAGTATTAAATATTAAGTTTTACAGTCGGAAACCTCAAGGGGCGGGAAATTTGATTAAACAAAACGCCGGATTAATATGTGGACAACTTGCAAATGAAATGTAAGTAACATGACAGAACGAGTATGTACGCCCAATAAATACTTTTATAGTTTTAATGTGCATTCAAAGGACCCCGTTTGTAAAATTGATAGAAATGAATAGTTTTATTACCGGAAAAACTGAGAAATATCTACCCGATTCGCCAGAATAGTCATCATCATATCAGTGCGAAAAATTAGCTATATTTATTTTCTATGCGATATACACCTGATATTGATAGCCTTCCACGATCATGGTCCGTTGACATCATCAACCTTGTGATTTGCCCTAAGTGATTAACCAACATTTTAAAACAATTTAAAGTCGAGGTTGACGTTTCTTGACTTTTCACACTGACATCCAAACAAAACATAATTTGAAAATAAAAGGCATAAAATGGCCATTAAAAGTACATTTTTGAACAAAAGTATTAACTTATATTACACTGCACGCAAATACAAAGTGAAAAGAACGTCTTCCCGGAGATTGAAATACGGATCGGTAAGTCAACAAATCTAACTGTTAATTAAACAAGCTTAGCCTATGTCTGCGATTGTTTGTCTGAGTGGCCAGATGTTATCCGTTTCGGATAATAAATTTCTGAGAATACTACTGATATCTAGAATACATCTTCCGTGATATTTTTCATAAAACTACCCTTTGCGTTCGTTTGACTTCACTTCTTAAAATAGAGCTTCGTCTTAGTGTAGTTTAACTAGACTCTGCACGCAGGGTATCGTAAAACAGGCGTCTTAGCTGCAATTTTGAATAATAGCGTAATTCATAGCACAATATAAATTAACCCGCCTCTGTTTAATTCAAATATGCATTACCCTTAAGAATCATATACTTTGACACCTTTTCATTCTTGATTCGAATTTTTATCTTGTCTTCATCTAAATTTGTGGATTAATAACAGTTTTTAGTATACAAATTGAACATACAAAATGTAGCGTATTGATTACACGTTACAGTGGCGTAGCCAGCTTTCAGTCGGGGGAGGGGGGGGGTGCGATCGTGGCATAAAAAATGTTTTTGAAGATTTGTTTTGAATTTTACTAAAATTGGTGCAACTTCGTTCAAAATCGAGCTAGAAGCTTCAAATAAAAAGCATTTTAAGACTTTTTTCTTCTATCTAATGGTTCTATTTTCATTGGTTATGGAGGGGGGGGGGGGGTGCGATCGCACACATCGCATCCCCCTGGCTACGCCTATGCGCTATATTAATATAACAAGGTTATCATATCATGCCAATAGTTATATGGTTAACTAATATTAACACAAAATAATAATACACGATAATTAAAAAAATAAACCTCGGTATTCGGGCCTAAAATCCAAGGATACGTGTACCATTACTTAAGTGTAAGCTGCAATACCATATCGAATACCTGTACCATTACTCAATAATAACCACTAGTAAGACCATAATAACAAGCTTAATAACTAGCTTATCGCAAGTTATTCCATACGATTTTGTCTTGTGTAAAAGGAAGTAGCAATGCTATTGTGATTTTTTTTTACAATCAACAACAACACTGGATTCATTGTTATATTCCTTAAAATGTACAAATCTATATAATAATGAAATGTGTGAACTGAAAATTAATAATTGAATTAATCAATCTCTGCACTGATGAAAATTTACCGGCCCAGTAATTAACATTTTAAAACACACTTGTCCCGACTTAACTTTTAGAAAAAGAAAGTGCAGGATATGCTCACCAGTTAAAAGTTTCATATACAAGTTATTTACCTTGATTTTATAAAAGCATTGTTTAAAGTACCTAATTCTGACATTCGTCCTCCTATAATCAAGGGAATAACTGGACTGTTTTCTGGTCTCAAACCACACGATGACACAAAGCATGTCAGGTAAACAGACTGGTTGTTGTAGCACGAAGATGTAACCTAAACAACATATAAATATGATTTAATTATTTCTTGTGTTCTGATCTGGCGAAATTGCTTTACTGTAAAAAACGTATTTAGTTTCTCGCCTTCTAAAATCTGCAATTTCAATTTTTTTATTTGTTAGTCGTGTACATATTTTTAACTGAAATTATCAGTACAAGTCATAAACACAACAAAATGTCACCACCTAGTTGCTTACAATATTATTGGTTCAATTTTTAGTCAGATTTGAATTTCTGAGAACTTATTTTAAAAAATGGTCAATTAAAAGCAAGTTGCCAAAGACCTTTTATGACCCTGAGAAGGTCATTGAATGTAAAATCTCAAATTATAGTCAGTTGAACTTCGTGTATATGATTTTGAAAAAATGCTCAATTTGGAGCAAGTTGAAAAAGACCTTTTTGACCTTGAGAAGGTCATTGAAGATCAACATCTTTTTTTGAACCTGAGAAGGTCATTGAAGTTCAAATCTATAGTCAGATTTGACATTTTGAGAACTTGTAGATGATGAAAAATCGTCAATTCGGAGCAAATTGAAAAATACCTTTTTTGACCTTGAGAAGGTTATTGGAGGTGATATTTCAAATCTAAAGTCAGAGTTCTAAACTTTTTAGAACTTGTAAATGATTTTGAAATAAATTGGTCAATTTAATATAAAGTCTGATTTGAATACTCGATGGGGGTGACATAAAACTGCTACAATCCAATACAATACAATATCCACCTGAGGAACTGTAGGGACCGAGTGAATACAGTATATGCCCTGGAGCGAGAAATATGGCGGGAGATACGGAAGTTTTGGATATGGAAACCTCAAAATCAGGATACGGGATATATCTGACTAACTTATCTCCTTATAAAACTCTACTTGGTATAGGTTATGAAACTCATATCAAAGTATCTTGATAAGTATTTCAATCAATATATTTATATATTATGTATACATTTCAATCCCTGCAATAAACTTTCCAGGGGTCTGTACCGTCCTTGTGGCTGGTAAACACGCTGGGTATGGTAAAACGAGTAAGAGGGATTAAAATAAACAATTTATTTCCATTGTGTCACAAGGATTATGTTTATACACGTTTTTATTTGTATTACCGAAAATAATATTACGTTCTGCTTCTAATAGTGGTTCTCAAAGTTAAAGTTCATATGTACGCAGGAAATTCACTGTCGATTGCTATTTCTAGCATATATTAGGGTGACCGGAAAAAGAGGAGTATTTTTTTTCTTTAACTTTCATATGATTCCCGGGATATGATTATCACGATCTGGTTACTTTTTGGCTTTTTACTCTTTTTTTAATTGATGCATGACATATCTAAAGTGTGAAATGACCACCTCCTTCTATTTTTATTTGAAGGGTATTTCGGGACATGCCCTGATAGGTGTGCTCCCTGGCGCTGTGTTGTTTTAAGTCTTAAATGAAAATACAAACTCTGAGTACCTGTGGAGTAAGAGAACTGTTGATCATATGTGCATATTTGGAAAAATTGGACAGCATTGACGCTGTCCTGTTGTGAAGACCGAAACCAATTTTCTTGCAAAGAAAGTCACTGAACTCTGGCCTCCAGTTGTTGTAACAAAATGGTATCCATTGACCACTTGAATAAAGTTCGACTCGTCTTGGTCCATTTTCTTGTTCTGGATGCGCAAATCGCACTGGAAGAAAATAATATAACGTTATTCTAAAAACAGTCTGCCAACCTTGTAAGTTCACAAATTAGAAGTGGTTTATAATTAGAAACAGAGATCCTGGGATCATGATTCATGTCCTGAAGGTTGATGTAAAACATCAATCCTGTTCAGTTTATATAGAACCCACTACCCCTAGTTTTCCTGGCAGGTATTGGTCAATGAAGACACAGAATAACATCCTTCGCAAAATGCTGTTCAGTGAAAAAGCAGTTGAGTAAGTATGAAAACCCCACCTATCATGATCTCATTTTGACTTTCCCCATGGTCAAGATCGCCGGTCATAGGATCATTCTAACTTATCAGTATTATATTTTAAAATTGCGGAAAAATGTTCTAAAATTTATGAAATCATCTTCCGTAGCAGGAATTTTGTAATCATTGAAATCTATCATCATTCCTAATACTGCTATTGAAACGATGTTTTAGTGTATTCAGTTTTTTACCACAGTTTTGTTCATCAGAACCATCGTTACAATCTTCATGTCCATCACATCTTGTTGTATTGCTAACGCATTGGTAGTGTCTGCATTTGAACTGATCATCTCGACAAGTACCTGGAAAATACACTCAATAAAGTTGCCTGTAAGAATTGCGACTTTCCAGCTTCCAACGCTTTAAATATCAATGTATAGTTACGTTGAAATCAATTGTTGCTGGGTCAAATTAGTTTTTCTACAGTACTTACTACAGTTTTGCTCATCAGTCCCATCTTTGCAGTCCACAACACCATCACATATTGAGGAAATGTGGACACAAATTCCATCACCGCAGCTACGTTCATCATATCTACAAGCTGCAATAATCAACGTGACACCTAGTATATCAATTTATCCCATACTTGGACGTGTTACAGGTACATAAAGCCGGTTTGTAAAAACTTATATTTTCATCAGCGGGCAGATATAGCTTTACGTCCCGCTCCGAGCGGGCAGATATAGTATATCTGCCCGCTACGTCACAATCGCTACTCGCATATTTGTTCATAATTTGTAACGTTCGCGTAATGACTGTAAACGACAATGGAGAAAACACAGACAATCGGGATCTGTTTGATGGTTTAAAAAAGAGAAGGAGCATCAACTTAATCAATCAGAAATTTGGGAAAATAAATGTGGGAATATTTGAGAGAACAGGAAAATCCGCCCACGGCCAAGAAAACAAAACTGGACATGAATATTCTAAAATATTTCCACGATTGAACAATGTTAACCAGATGACCAATATTGGTATGGGATAAACATATTATCCTATAGTCGGTTCAGGATATTGGGATTATCCCTTGGCCAATATAATATATTTTCCCTCGGGACCTGCGGCCCTCGGGCAAATATATTATATTAGCCTCGGGATAATCCCAATATCCTGAACCTCATATAGGATAATCTCTATATAAGTGATGGGACATCGTTGCTACGCAAAACATATTCATCGGTAAATGATCACTGAGAACATTTTTAATATATATTTTTAATACGTTAAACATATGTGTAAGCAGAAAAGTCCTTCATCAAAATAGCGATGATCAAGACCAGACCAGATCTGACCTTCATATAACCCCATGGCCTTTAAGAGATAGTAAAATAGCATGTAACGGCCGCCATTTTTTCAAGATGGCCACAATGTTTTTTTGATATTTAGATTTTCAACTAAATCAATATCCTTTATCTTTTCTTGCATTTAAAACATATTCATAATACATTTTTATATGTAATGCTTAAACTACTGTATATACAGGGTGGTCCAAAAAATGGGACACTCATATTTCAAAAATAAATATTGATTTTCTTGAGGAAAACATGTCATATTATATACCAGTGGATAGGGAATTTACCTATCTTTTATTTGGTATACCATGAGTTCAAATTTATTATAATGCCTGTCAACCAGCGTCCATAATATAGATGACGTCATTTTCGTTCAACAAAACAGGTCTTCCGAAACTTGCAAAAACCAAGTTTTTTGTCAACTTAATTTACATAAACAGACTCTCAATATGTCCACCATTTTGATCAGTTAATAGCCCTCAATTTTGGCCTAAACTGGTCAAATGCATCATTAAGATGCTGTTGAGACAGTGAATTCGACTTCTCAATTATTCTGTCCTTGAGGGACTGTCCGACTGATTAGATGTAAGGAGTTCATGATAAACCAATTCTGTTAGTTCTCTAAATATGCGGTAGTCGCAGATGTTGACATCGGATGATCCAATTATCTTGTTTTGGACCATCCTGATATGAGCTCATTTTCGAATCATTACATTTTCTAACAAGATGGGGCTCCAAGCAATAGATCTCACAAGAGTGTCAAATGTTTAAAAGAAAATGTGCCTAGATTCATGCCCCTTAATCACTGCCTCGCCCAGATCACCCGATTACCCAACGTTTGCGACTACCACGTATAGGGAGGACTGACAAAATTGGATAATACCATAAATCCTTACGATCTATTCAGCCCCTTAAGGACAGAATTATTGAGAAGTGAAATTCATTGTCTCAACAGCATATAAATGATGCTATTGACCAATTTAGGCCAAAATTGAGGGCTACAATTGATCAAAGTGGTGGACATATTAAACATCTGTCTATGTAAATAAAGTTGACAATAAACTTGGTTTTTGCTTGTTTTGGAAAACCCGTTTTGAAATGAAAATGACGTCATTTATATCATGGACGCTGGTTGACAGACATTATAATAGATTTGAACTCATGATATACCAAATTAAAGATGAGTAAATTCCCTATCCACTGGTATATAATATGACATGTTTTCATCAAGAAAATCAACATCTATTTTCGAAATACAAGTGTCCCATTTTTTTTGGACCACCTGTATATAAAATCGACACTAAAAATGGCAACCATTTTGAAACCGGCGGCCATTCGTGGTGCTTGTAGAACTTGTATTACCATGGGGCATTTGCCTTTAAAATATAAACCACATTCGTCCAACGGTATTTGAGTTATTCTCTGGACGGAGGGACAGATAGACTTACGGAAGGACGTACGAAAGGGCGGAACTGTGTGACCAACGGAACGTCAGTTATCTCAAAATACAGGTGTATTTTCATAAGGGAAATTTTTATCTTGTCAAATCATGTATAGCTCAATGAATTGCATTGAATATTTTAACACGTAGCAAGAATGACCACCTGGTCATGCAACATCGACCTTGGGGAAGATGTATGCGGTTCCAAGTATTTCATAGCTTATGTTCATATGCATGTGTGTATTATACCTACTCTTATCAACTCTCAGATCTTACTTATAATGTTATTGGTGTTTATTAGAGTTCTATTTTGTCTATTGTTTAAATTTTGATACGCATCCAATAATACTGTAATATATAATTATTATATTATCTCCAATCAATGGAGGGAAAATAAATCTAATAATAATAATAACCATATCTTTAGACCCAAAATAACAATCAAACCAGGCAAATTGCTGATACTGTGAAAAGGGCATACAGTAACATCAACGTATATCTGTCAAAGAGCGGACGAATAAAGAACCTGATCATGGTGAACTAAAATAACACAAAAACATACATACGGCAGTTGTTCTCGTCATCCATGAAAGGACAATCTTTGAAGCTGTCACACCTCTTATATAATGGTATGCATTTACTGCTGTTTGTACATGGATGTTCGTATGGCGTACAGCCTATAATAAAAGCAAACGATCATTATGTAACTACTGGATCATTTAAACATGATATCTACATGTGTCCCACGAAAGAGAAAGGAAAATTAAAGAAAATATGCGCCTAATGGACAATATATTTAGTTATGGAATACACATTTACTGTCGATAATTGCAATATGTGGGATACTTCCCACGATAATATTAATGAGGGATTCCAAATTTTGAACACATTTTAGAAAACGTTTCACACGTCCAAGATAGGTATCTTATGTCACGATTAGCCCGCTAGTTAAATTAATTATTTTTGAGAAGAGATGAGGTGTTAAAATTTAAATTAGGCGTAAACCTACCCCCACTTCTTATCAGATAAATATCATCTACAGCGACTGCTATGGCTTGATATGAAACCATAGACTTGATGTTGATTCCGAAATAATCAATAGCATAATAATAGCCTATCGAACGTAGATCTATGGTTTCAGTAAGCCATACATTCGTAGTCTCGGGACTGATTCGTACTGAAAAATTAGAGTTACTATGTTATAGTAGCATAGACATTGACTATATCTAAATTTTTCCGAACAATGTAAATGGTATGTGGTGAAGTAAATGCTACGTGTCACTCTTGTACAAAATAAAATGACACTTTTCACTTTATAATTAAGATGCATATCAACAATATAGATATAGATCCTTTCATTGGTATTTTAACTGTTTTAAACCAAATAATACGTGTTCACCAAACACTGTTAAATGCTTTTGAGTCTGGATTATTGTTGTTCACCTCGTCAATTTTTATGGACTTTTTGATTATAGAAACGCAAACATGTAACAATATTACACTACAGAAATAGATAAATAAATCCTCAATGTTGTTGCACTAATAAGATCTAAGATTTTACCATATCTACTTAAAGTCGTCTGCCGCCTGCTATAGCTATTTAATCTGGTTCCAGCGAAAAATTCCCATACTTTCAACTGTCCAGAATACATATCAACATCGTATCTATCCATGATAACCATAATCTTCAACTGAACCACCCCATTTGACGTAGTAGTTGTTGGGAGTGAAATGTTAAAAACACTGTTTGTAGTACTCTGTGAAAGGTCTGAACCATTGGTTTCAAAGTATGCATAATGTCCTGGAATAAACAACATCAAAAAATGTATTTGAAACGTTTCATTTATTTGGGTTATTCACCTTTTAATGAATAGATCTTAATCAGGGGTACTACAGAGTAATCGGATTAGACAGCCCACAGATAACTGGCATTATTCAAGGAATCAGGGTTCAATTTCTCTAAAATTAGTAAAGTTACTAATTAGCAACTTTACTAATTTTGTAAGTTTCAAAAAGTTGTTTAAAAGTTACGAAACCGCGAACTGTATTTCTCGAGTTTTAGAGACTTACAAAATTAGCAAGTTTATGTATAGTCAATAATTATATCAACAATGATTTTTTTGAATACTTAATCCTTCTGTGTCATATAATATCTGTAAGAACGAATGTAAAGGGGTCTAGGATGACTTACGAAAGACTTACAAGACCTCTGGAGGTACTATAAGAGCTACGATATAAATCGCAGATGATGTCATTATTTAGTAACTTTTCGAAAAAAGTTACTTATCTTCGTCAAGTACCTATTTTCGAGAAATGCAAGTTGTTAGTAAGTCCTAGCAAAACAATAGACTCACTAATTCGTAACTTTACCAACTTTGGAGAAATAGACCCCTCTTTCATTAAGTTTAGGCCAAGATTTAATTTTTTTAGTATCCCTATGTCAAGAAAATATTCATTTCAGCCATGTCTCAACGGGTATTGCTTATATCAAAATGAATTCGTTATATTATGTGAAAATTTCAGCTCAATTTCAATGAAAATATTCCCGTGTCATGTTGGTACATTTTTGATACACCCTGTAAATAAAGTTTAAAAACATTGAAAGCATCAAAACTACTCGAATGGAAACACCCGGACAGATGCCTGTATCAAATTGTTTAACATTAGTCTGCAAACGAGTAACGATCTGGAATGCTAGGTGTCGGTAGATTATATTTTGAAAGAGGTGTCTAACACTACAGACGCAAAAAATCCTTATGCATATCACCAATGGTTTTTGAGACACAGATAATGTTCATAAAAATATGGAAGCAAGAGAAACAATAGCATATTTAGACCACTACTGCCTATGTGTATTACCCATGCATGTCCCTAATGTAGCATCAACAGCTGGCGCATTTGCAGATGAACTTAGTTTTCTGTTTGTGATACTCCATGGAGATTTGTATCCATTCCCCATCATTAATGAATCTGAGCAGCTCTCCTCAGTCCGATTCTCAAATGAGCATTTGTAAATCATGCGCTCATTGTCAACACGCCCGCCTTTTCAAAAACATCAAGAAAAAGTACTATTTTGCATACTCCAGACATTCCTTTTACGGAAACTAAGCATGCATACGCTATAGGTCATGGTATGACATTTCTAGAACCCCTAATTAAGGAGCTGGTAGCACACTATAGTGCAATTAGAATTGAGATTTGGATTTATATTTACATACCTACATACCGGTATTTATTTTTTATTATGGGGACCAATATACTATCAGCGGATAGGCTGAATTATGCCTGTCATTAGCTGGTTTCAAAAAATACTAATTGATTTACATTTTTACAAGTTTAAGAAATTAATGTACTGCTTTTTTATTACACTTATATGTGCACTCATATCTTGTTGACTTATATTCTGCACTGTTTCGATGAATGGGTCACTTATTAGGGTTAGTATACAATTATGAGGTGTAGAGGCATAGATGATAAATCAGCTAAACTTTTTGTGTCTTTTGAAATCCATTTGTATAGACGTGTCCCTACATCTTATCCAAATATGTTATTACATAATGACACATTATAGTATAATCGTTGGACGAGCAAAACGCTTGCCCCCCCATAGGGCATATGTGATGAATATGAAAAAATCGGGTCAACTGTATTTGAGTTATCAACCAGACGAACAGACGGGTGGAAGGACGAACGAAGGCGTTCCCTATATATCACTGACCATCGTTCGATGGGATAATTAATAAGACAGTGGATGAGGAAAACGGTACTCACATGGTACTATAATTATGTCATCTAAAATAACGCCTTTGCCTGTTATTTCAAAGACCACTCTAAATGTTCCTGGGGTGATGGTACTGCTACTATAAGTTCGCCATCTGTAACTGGAAACTGGAATAAAGCGAATTTAAGATGCATTTAAACATGCTTTCAAACAGTAAAAAATTTAAATACTTAATTTTAGATATCTTTGTCCATGTATTCAGAAAGTATAGTCATATTTACCAATCAGTCTCTTAAGTAATATGTGTGTAGAAGAAAGGATTTGAGTCAGTCAAACGACAATAAAAATAATATACTGAATATAATATAATATACTGACATAATATACTGAAAAGTTACAAAATGTCAAAATAAGTTCAATTACAATAGTATAAATTCCATCTATGTGGACGACTGCAATGCAATTGTTCATTTATTTATTTATTATTAATCATCATTATTTTATTCCAATAATACAAGTTGAAAGAAGTAAACAATTGCAAAAGTCTAGTGACATTGATGGCAATTTTGAATGGCATCTATAAGAATGTTATTTAAATTTTATACATAGATGAGAAAAAAGTAAATGAAATACCACTTAACTACACTCGTATCTTTAATATGTAAGGTGCATTTCCTTGGTCAGAGGGATTCCAGATGTATTATGTTAAAATTGATTATATATTCAATAGATCTTAACCACAAACAAACATTCGTTTTTCATTCTACTGAGGATTTAATATGTCCAAAAAGTAGGCAGTGGACATTCCAACAGGAAATGTAAAGTTATCTGGTTTGAATAATCATATGAACATTTCTGACTAGCAACTCGTTTAAAATTGTGTGCATGAAGGTGAGCTTGAAAGAGAAGCCCAGACCTGAGTCGGTTTAAGAAATTTCTAAGTAACAAGGCATGGTATTCTTTCGTTTTGACGTTGATAAGATAGAAGCGGTTTCCGGACAACTCGGACCCGGGATGGGATGGAGGGGGGGGGGGGGGGGGTCGGATGGAGGGGGAGATTAAAACAAAGGCTAAATAATCCCCCCCCTCCATCCCGTTTTTATTATTTTCGATTATTTTTTTATATAACGTATAGTAATGTGTTTTACAAAACCAACGATGACAATAGTTTATTGATAATAACTTCACTTCAAGTAATAAACTTCAAGTATTTATTACAGGTCGTGTAGACCCCTGTTGCTTTAGTTATAGCCAAAACATTGGCATTTGCACATTGGCGAGGCTGCGCCTTTTTAATAGATCTTTTACCTTAGAAGTCAATCGGTTCAAAAAAAATCGTAGAAGACCTAACATATTTCCCCGTGCACTGCGCCTATTCATTTAGCAATTCAATAGTAAACTTTCTGTTAAAAAATTAAATCTCCAAGATTTCTTGAATTTTCTACCAAAAATCAGCAAATCCCCCCTCCATCCAATTCGTCCGATCACCAGGTGTGGTTATTCCAAAGAGCCATTCCTTTGAGAATTGTTGATTTCTTAGTCAAAGCGCTTGTTTGGAGGCGAATCGTATAGTCCCTGTGATTTTTTGGGATTTTTTAAAATAAAAAATGAGAAAATATGTCCAAATGTAAAGCTAAAATGGAATAACAAGTATGAAAACCTACAATGGAAAAATGTATATATTATCAAAAATGGAAACTAAGTAATACCAAGAAGTGTAAGAAGTGTAAATATTGTGTAGAAGAGGAGGATACTTTTTTTACCAATTTTTTTAATTAATGTCACCAAGTAAAAAGTATTGGGATGATGTAGAAACAGTGTTAAAAAATATAAAAATATAACTTTCACTGATGTAAATGTACTTTTATTCTATAAGAACATTATGAGAAAATTATTGTGATAATTTGTGAATGTGATGTCCCTCTCTTTTAGACGACAATGTTTTCCATGTTATCATAATTGATGTTTTACTTTGTGTATCATACAAAACATCTTGTACATACGTGTGATATTTGCGGTGATGTTGGTTTCCTGATGAGTTGTTAAATCCAGTCGTAAAATTCTTAAGACACCATAAGGAGAAGAACTCGACCATCTTAGAACAGAAACTTTCAAGCAGTATTCTGATTGTGTTGAAAGTACTGGTGTCAACAATCTATTTCTCTCTCCATTACCTTGATATATTTGCATTACTCGCCCTGCAATACATACCATAAAATACATGTGAGTAAGTACAAAACAATTTTAGTCCTAGTATTGTTTAGGACATCATTCGATAATGAAGAAAGCAATAAATTATGTTTAAATAAAGAGTAAAAATAGTCAACAGAATATATTCTCCATCATTGTTCCCAAGAATGATCAAACATGCCGTCGGTTCTCTCTTGATTTCTTGAAATGGATTTTTGTCCACTGTAATTTTCTTGACTGTTAAAGGCTCGATAATGAATGTGGCTTTTTGCACTCAGTTTAAGTGCATGCACGACGTTTATTTTATAAATTTGATTGGTTGATACATTATCAAATGAGCATATACATCACACTACTATACCTTGCATTAGGTGTTCATGAGTAACCCATTTGGCTTATTAGTAATGATTATGTATTTGTTTTTATTTGTCTGTTCCTTATGAATGGTTTATCGGTTGAAAATTAGATGCTAGTAAGGCACTTTCAAAAATATATTAAACAATTCAATTAGACAAACAAAGTATCTTATGCATTTCTAGGTGTTAGGTATAGTAGTGTGATACATGCGTGAAGTCTGATGAACACTTATGATGTAAAAACGCGTAGCGGGAATTACTAGCTCTTAAATGAAATTCCGAAATTCGAATCATTTTACTATTTGCTAATCGTGGCTAAAGGAATAACAAGCTGCTCCAAGCAGATTATGTGCGAGTTTTCGACAAAACATTCAAGTATCTGAACAATTGCAATCCGTATGATGAGAAGGGTTTTTAAATCTAATTCTTGAAGTGCAAATCTTATTCAAATAAGAATAATGTTAAATGATAAGCTATGATTTAATGATTATAGCCCATGCGATTCAAAAGAAAAGTTCACAAAATGTCAAAAATGAAGAAATAAAATAGAGATGTATATTGTCCACCTCATAGTATAGGTCATTTAGAAATGGAGAAAATTTGAAGTTGAACTTTTCAATGGTGAAAATAACTGGTGTTAATTGTAGTCGCTTATTGGGAAATTATTAGTTCTCCAATTCATACTAAAGGAAACAAGGTAAATAGCAGTCTATCCCCATTTAAACTCAATGCAAATGGGTTTTTACGCAGGCAAATTTCCTTTCATTTATCTGTAAGTAATAAAGACGGAAAAAGTGAAGGTAAACGGGATATCATAAAATCGATTATTCATATTATGCACAGAACAGGATCTTAAGAGGTTCTGGACAAATCATTTGATTCTGGACTTGACATATTTTTTTTCCAACGAAATCACATCCAAGGGTTGAATTTTTATTGGATATTTAGAGAGCGAGTCCTGTTTTGATTTCAATAAAAAGGTTAAAATAGAACGCTATTTGAGAGTTAATCTTATACTTTCATTACATTGATAAATTAAGGCAAATTCTGAAAAATTTTAAAGTGCATTTTTTATGAAATATTATCCAAGTATTTAGATGAAACGGTCTTATTTAAATACAAATCATAACATGATGATATTTTTTCATAAAATATTTCTTCAAGAAATTCAATTGAAGGCTCAAGATAAAACGAGCTAATTTAGGTGAAAACCCTTACATGATGATGTGTTTTCATGACTTCTTTCATAAAATTCCATCAAGGGGTGAAAATAAAATGATCGAATTTAAGTGATTTAAGGATCACGAGGATAGGTTTTCTTGGATATTTTCTATGAAATCCCATCCAGTGGTCAAGGTAAAATTTTTATTTGGTATATTTGGTCACGTGTTCGAACCCATAGAACCATATAGGAACGTCATTTTGAATGTTACGTGATAAATCCATATAAGGCTTTTAGAACAATGTGGGGAAAGATGAGGGGAAACCCCTGACACCTGTTCACGATTTTATCCGAACGTTCATCGGATCATTTCGGTTTTTATGCACTTCATTATTTTACCGAAGTTTGCCGATTCGATTCGTCGTATTTCGGAATATTGGGGACAATTTTATACTCCATTGGGAGTATTTTTAATCTACTTCTTATTACGAAGATTCCCGAACCTTGTTCGGATTAATCCGGATTTTCTGACCTACTTCATCTACCGAGATTTAACGAGTTTACATTCGGCTCATTTCGGAATCCTGGTGACAATTTTATACTCCATTGGAGTATTTTTGATCTACTTCTTATGACGAAGATTTCCGAACCTTGTTCGGATTAATCCGGATTTTCTGACCTACTTCATCTACCGAGATTTAACGAGTTTACATTCGTCTCATTTCGGAATCCTGGTGACAATTTTATACTCCATTGGAGTATTTTTGATCTACTTTTTCTGGATTTTGCCCTACTTATTATATCTTTACAACAAGCAAATCAAAAAATTCGCCATGAACGGGTCTCGATCGACTAACCTAGAGCATGGAAGCTAGGCACGTTAGCCATGAGGCTAACGTGCAACCGATACGAAAGGATAAAAGTATTATATATTTATACCGAGCGTCAATTCAAAATGATCTTCACTTTTGACTGCACGTAAATACAACTCGTCAGTTGTATCCAGAATAGATGAACGCCTATGGTACTAGTGAATAACCAAGTCCCAGGCGAGTGGTTCGCACCCCACCGTGATATGTTATTTTTGCTTTTTTAATACGACAGAAAGGAGCAAGGTCACTGTAGCGGTCCTGATATCGATACATTCTACACGCAATAAAACCAGATACCTGCGTGTGATTAAAACTACATGTTAGAGCGTCGATATCCTACAAATCCTATTTTTTCATAAAAATATTTTTTCATGAAATCCAATCGAAGGGTGAAGATAAAACGATCTTTTAGGTAAAACAGCTTTACATGATCTGGTGATGTGTTTTCATAACTTTTTTCATAAATAAGACCATTCTCGGTTTGGAGAACAAAGTTCGTCACTCTAATTGAGCGTTATCCCTGCTTCGGACAAATTTGATTTTTTTACATAATATAGATTTGAATGTCTTCTTTTGAATAGTCATAGTTTAATTTGGGTAATATTTCTAGATTTTTCATATAAAAATTACTAGTGAAACACCCAACGTCGCTTTTATGATTCGTACCACTTTTTTAACTTGGTGTATTGCATATTTCCGTGGGTTGATTTGAAAAAAAGACAAACAACGTATACATGAATATGTCATAAGCATATAGTGAGATAATTGTTAGATTAGGTTTGCTATAAGTGACTTTAAAACAAAAAAAACAACAACATTAGTTCACGTGTTAAAGTCCCATTGACCACGACATCAAGGAAAATTGAGCTTTTTGTCATCAGACATCTTTATAGATGGAACTAGCTATGTACTACATTTTTAAATACACTCACATTGTACATGTAGCTGTAATATCTAAGATGTTATTTTTATTGATGAAAAGATTCTTACATACTAAAGTTACATTAAAATATCAATTGCAATAGCCACCTGTTTTTAACATCCCTTTGTCACTCATCCCTTAATTATCTCTGTGTATCTTAAACGTGTGTGTGTTCGATGTTGATAGCACCCGAGTGCAACCTAAGGAGCACATACAATACATTTTGTGTATGCCCAGTCTGGCCGCCTTATATCTGCCTGCACCGAGAAATGGGCGCAGCTTTGACAATTAACGAATGATATAACGATATCACGGATTTCACCGAATGTTATTCATCCCTAAATAGCTTTTTTATTTAGTCTTATGATCCGACTGATGTTTCAATTTTTTGCAGTGACTCTGAAATTGCTGCGCCAGATATGACATCACAGCGACTCATTTTCCTACATTTAAATCACTAAACTAAATCAATTGAAACATAATCATTAAAGAATGAGGACCTTGTATTTTACTTTGGACGAGGGTAGTGGCCATGTCTTGGCATGGCTAGTTGTGCATTAACGTTTGATACTGTTGTGCGGATAAAAATAATGAATATATGTTAAAGTAGCACTAAACAGATACTTTTAAAGTTAAAAGAATATAGTTACATTTAAAGAATGGGCCCAACGAATAGATATTGAATATAGGACTCGTTTGATGAAACGTTCGTTCTTTTAATTCTAATAAACCTAGAAATCAATCAACGATTAAGTAAATTGACAAGACTTCATGTTCAAGTTGGCTGAATTTCGTGTAACTTAACTCTGTTATGTTTCTAGATTTTACATATGGAGAACAGAATTCGAAATCATAATCACAATCGTATTTTAAGGCAAATAGGCCATGAATATGCTTTTAGTTACACGGTGGATGATCAAATTAACACATTTTGGATGTTGAATTTCATTTCAAGTTCATTCGAATTCACGCATTATCGTGGGAAAGCCCATGGCATTATCCAATAAAATTGATATATATACTGTCTAGGCTGAGACTAACATATGATATTAATGTATTTAATATACAGGATATATCTGAGAAAGTTATGCAATATATCTACACGAGAAATAGTAGGGACCGAGGGTTGATATATTACCTTTACCTGTCGAAAATCGAGTATAAACTATGAGGATTAGATACGCATTGAATGTAATGGAACCGTCATGTAATAATTAGAAATGATAATCACAATCAAATCATGAATATTTTATCTAGATTTAAAGTGCTTAAGATTTATTTTTAAAACTCAACCGAACTATTAACATTTAAAAGCACCGAACGAATTTTATGGGGATTGCTGATGAGCGGGTGGGATGGGATGGGAGGGATAAAATGAAATACTAGATAAAATATTGATACCTTTACGCATGTCAATCTCAAATTAGAATGCATATATCATTATCTCTTTTATTCTTCTGTATTGTAATACGATAGTCTGATTATTGTCAATATCCTATACATGAAATAATGTACAACGTGTATTCTACATTGAATAACAAACGAAATAAAACTCATCTTTGTACGAATTTATTTTTCATATGACACAAAGTAACATAACATTGTTATATGTTGCATTTACGACTACTACAGCAAATCAGAAAATTCGTACAATATCAAACGTAAGAGTTGTTCACAAATACATTGGTATTTTGAT